TATATATATATATATATATATATATATATATATATATATATATATATATATATATATATATATATATATATATATATAATATGAAAATATCAAACTAGTAATAATGAAGAGGAAATAAATATTTTGAGATGCATATAACTAGAGGATTTTGTTATATTCATCTGAATTGACTGAAAATAAATGAATATTTGCCAGAGAAATCATGAAATTATATGTAAAAAGTTATTATTTAAATCAACCATTTCATCTGGACACATATAAGTATAATGTGGTTATTGTAAAATTCTTCAGACGAATACGATAAAGATAGTTAGCAAATCAATAGGCATAATTGCCCTTTACACTACACAATTCAAATTAATATATCAGAAGTTATTACAGCATTGAAACTATCGCCAGAGAAAATGAATTCATAAACTGATGCGACACGCGTTATGAAGAAAGATTGCAATATGCCATATGCGTTCATACCTCCAGAGTTCCTGAAGAAGAGCTAACAAAATCTCGAAAGCTTGAACAGATAAAAAGAGTTCTCATGTTTTTTGTCTTTATCTGCAGTATTTGCTCCAAACTTTTATAAGTATATGTCACAAACAATTTGGTCATAATAAAGCTGTTACTGAATATGTTCAGAAAGAATTACTTTTCAACGTCGATAGCTACATTGCCCGTAGATACGTTATAACTCTATATTAGCATCTGACTATGGTCAACAACCATAAAAATATTATTATAAGGTAATACTTCTTGTTGCCGCATTTTTGTGATGTTTATGATATAAAACAATGTACTTTATATAGCACCTAACCTTGCTACATTGATCATTTGTTGATACAGATTGTTTTATTACACTTATTGTTGTTGAATTCTTTGATTACTGTTTCTTTCTTATCGGACTGAAACGTAAAAAACAAATGAGTTGACTTAAATGAAAAATAAATTTTCACTTGAGTACCAGAATATACTTCGGTTTGGAATAGAAATGCATTGAAATGCATATAGTGATGAAAATAACATTTTCTGCAAGCAACAGAACAATTTACCAAGTTCAGATTAGTCGTGTTCTTGAGCTTCATTAAATCAATTTCGTCGACTGGAACACTATTTTTCCACTTTTTTTTGCGATATATAGCGTATATATGGTAAAAATAAAATAATATGAAATGAAAAACAACACACACAGTACGTTATTTATGAATAAAAAAAACTAAATTGATATTTGCATATTCAAAGATATAAACATTCGCCAACTGACATATACACATATAAAACAATAATAAAAAATGTGTCAATTTTGCCTGCCGCAGTCATATCAATATATAAAATAAGATGAAATCACCAGTCAGAACACTGAAACAAAAGCTGAAACAACAAGTGAAACATTACAGTGATTAAAAATCTCATTATTCTTCTGTGAAAGTACCCTCTATGGTCTATGTATCCCTTATGGCTGTAGTAACATTTGTTCAGTAATAAGTTTTTAACTTTCAAGATTGAATATTAATCGTATCAGTCGATTCCAAGAGATGAAAACTCTAGAAAACTCCTTCGCACATTTCCAAGCCAGTATGTTCAATGTGATGTGAGATTATGCATTCGCAAAACAAATTTTTAGTATACCAAACCTATCTAAACAGTGTTTCAATAACACTGAACTTTACAATGCAAACTAAAAAAAGATCAATCTCATATCTGTCAAAATTCTCAATTTTAAGGCGGGTATGTTATCATACTTGGCTCACCCTGTTTTTTGTTCTAATCTTAACAAGGTCATTTTAATAATGATACTCATTATTAAATTTCGATGGTCAAGTTGTGGAACGAAAACTTTTCGCAATTCTTTTAATCTGTTGAAAGGTCTATAGTCTTTTTCTTCCAAAAAAAACTGAACAGTAGGATGCGCTATAAATATTATCAATAATCTTTAATTTTCTTTATACCTTCTTTTATATCATCAAACATAAAAATCAAATCATTCAAAGGACTATCCTTCATTCATTATTGAGAAAGCGGTTACAAATATATTTTACGACTAATGAAAGGAAAACATTAAGTCAGATTCAGCGTTGTTCAACCGACATAGTTAAAGGAAATGTTATTAAAAGAGACTGAATGGCTAGATAGCTATCATTCAGTCGATAACATCTTTGTAGGAAGTACAGAGAAAGCTACGAAATTCAAATATTTTTGATTTCTAATTGTTATTGAATACATCACCGGAAATTAAGTTGTAAAATTTTATGGTTAGTCACCAACATTGAATAATGTTTATACGATTTTCTCCAAAGTTGAAATGTATGTAATTCAATAATTCAAACTGATATTTTTCATTTACAACTACGTGATTGAAGTTTTTCAGTTTTTTATTGTGTATCATTCGAATTCAGTAATTCGTTTAGCTTTGCAGTCCAATGCAAACGACTTTCCTGATTGAACAGATATCTTGCGGAGAATTTTCAAATATACAAAAAAGGCGGATAAAAATGTATAAGACGAACGATTCAAGAACACAGAAATTTAGATGACTTGGATATATTCCACAAATGCCACAGAAAAAAATCCTGCAGCTTCTTTGAACTTCATCTTAGATCAGTGTTCCTCTCTGTGGATGGTCTCAGCTTGGGATCTCAGCTTTGGACCACTGCTTGTCTCGATTTGCTTCTTTCTCCTCGCTGTGGGTTTCTCTTGTGCTCGGCAACGCGGACTTTCAATGGCCTCCTAGTTTCACCGATATAGGATTAGCCGCACTCACAGGGTATCCGGTAAATGCAATTCTTGGAATCGCAGTCTGCGTTTGATGGCCTGGTTTTCGTGAGGCTGTTTAGGATGGTTTTTTCGGATCCAAAGCAGATTCTGTCTGATGTTGTACTTGAACCAAATTCTTTTTATCCTTTCTGATAATAATCCTTTGACGAAGAGAAGGGCAAGCACTGGTTGTGACTGCTTCTCTTCCTTGTGAGGCTATTGCTGTTTTCCAGCCAAAATCTGTTCCACCATCAAACTTTGGGATAACCATTCTGTTAAATATATTTTTTGATGACTCCTAGGTCTTTCTCGAGATCTTCCTTTGTATTACAGAGCCCAAAAGCAGGACCCACTAGAATCTTTACGATTTCTTTTTTGGTATATTGATGGTGGTTGGATTCGTAGTTAGCTCTCTTCACCAATACGTCTAAGATATGGCAATACGTTGTGGATTTCTTTCTCTATTGTGAAGTTGATGGAAGGTTTTACGTTGTTGATGTGCTACAGAAAGGTGTCTAGGTATCTCAACCAGACGCGGGGTTTATTGTGGGCTTCTTCAATGACCAGAGAACTTTTTTTATTCTAATGTTTACCTCGTCAACCAGTGTTATATA